TGGCATCAAATTTAAGGTGTTGGGTTTGGCAGCAAGCACCGTTACCCTTTGAGTCATCGAACCTCACAAGCCCCAGTGTGCATGTTTTTAAGCTTCCTAGGGACATTTATACAGGATTGCAATGTGGAGTTGTGCTAGTTGTTTTTTCCCCCACACGAATCACCTGAGAAGAATCCTTAATTGAGGAATTGCCTCCACCAGGTTGGACCATGAACATCCATGGAGCATCTTGCTCAATAATTGATGTGGGAAGGCTCAGCCCACTGTGGGCGGTGCCACTCCTGAGCAGGTCGTCCTGGGTTACACAAGAAAGCAAGCTGAGCAAGCCATGAAAAAGCAAGCCAGTAAGCAGTGTTCCTCCATTGGTTTCTGCTTCAACTCCTACCTGAGATTCCTTCAGTAATGATCATGAACCATAACCTTTAAGGTAAAATAATCCCTTCCCCCCCTAAGTTCCCTTTAGTAGTGGAGTTTATCACAGCAGTATAAAGCAGCAGGCTAGGTCACATTTTAAACTCCTGAGCACCCATCTCCCAGCTTAAAGAGGGATTGAATGTTGCTGCTATGACAATGCTCAGTCCCTTTAGCACCCACTAAAGCAGTGGTTCTCAACCTTCCTAATGCTGTGACCCTTTAGTACAGTTCTTCAGGTTGTGGTGACCCCCAAGCATAAATTTATTTTTGTTGCTACTTTGTATCTTAAGTTTGCTACTGCTCTGAATTGTAACGTAAATCTGTGTTTTCCAATGTTTTTTGTTTTTGTTTTTGTGGGTTGAGCCCCACAGGCTGAGAATGACTGCACTAAAGCAATACCTTCTCTGAGGCCTGTGTTTCAAGGTATTGTACGGACTGTTTCTCAATATATTGTATGTATTGTGTCTCAACATATTGTATGCAATGTGACTCAGCATATTGTGTATTTCTCAACATATTGTATGTACTGTGTTTATTTATTTCTTCCAAGGCTTTGTTTATGATCACGAATCCAAGGACTAACCAGGCACAACTCTACTGAGATTTTGAGACCAGATGAAATGACGCCTCTGTTTCTCCTGGCATGACTTTGTCTGGAAAAGCTCTTCTCCTCTCTCCTTTCCTACTGAACTCCTATGGCTCACAACTACTGGAGTCCTCAAAATGTCATCTTCAGGCTGTGTTACATGCATGGGCAAATGGTTTCTTGTGATTTCCTTTTCTCCCCAAAGAATCCAATATTACTATATCTATTTTCGGGTTTGCTGGTAATGTCTGTTCTCTAAGGTTTTATCATCATCCGGTTGCCAAACTGGGCAAATCATCAAAATGCTGAGGAGAGATTCAAGCAATTGGAGATGCTTGGCTATCTTTTGTGGACGTTTAGGGGTCAGGACAGGGATATGGAACCATAAAGGGCACCCTGGATAGACCCAAGGGTTCCCTAGGGAGATACAGGCACTGCCTGGAGAAATCCTCTCCAATCCTTGAGCAATTGTTTCAACTAGCAACAGGGAGGGGGTGGCTAAAGCAAAGGAGGCCTCTGATCAAGGAGTTTCACCTTTTATTTAGACAAGGAGTAAGCTAGAGAGAATAGTTGCACAGAGTGATGGCCAATGTGAGGGGCTGGCGAGACACCTCAGGGGTTAAGATGACAGACTGCTCTTGTAGAGGATACAAGTCTGTCCTCCAACACATGTCAGATGGCTCCCAAGAACTTGTAACTCCAGATCCAGGAGATCCAACATTCTCTTTTGGTTTCCACAGCCACTACACTCAAGGGCACACACACACACACACATACACACACACACACACACACACACACCAATAAACAAATCTTTAAAAACTATGGTCTATTATATATTTAACAATTGCTAAAACAGTTGTAAATGGCTTCTGAACAAAATAGGGTAAGTAGCTGAAGTTATAGATTTGTTGATTAGTTTAATTTAGTCATAATGTATTATAAACACAAAATTGGACCCCATAAATATACAGAATACAAATATATATGTAAATTATTTGTCAAATGAAATTAAGATAAACAGGCTAGGGTTGAGCTGTGTACTGGAGTCACGGTTTGGTGTGAATGTATTTAGGGGTTACCTGAAAGGTCAACATGCTGAAAAGGGAATTGTGGAAAGGAGGAGCAAAGTAATGGATAAGTGGGCAGTTGTTTGTGCAACTGGAGCAGTTCGCCTGGCTGATGATGATACAGCAAAGAGTGATTCATATCAGAGACAAGTCATGTAATACCAGATAACTCAATTCCTTTATCCACTAATCTATTTGAAATTTTTGGCTGCCAAGTGGGGTTTTCATCCTTAATCTCTTTTTTTCTCTCATTTACCCTCAACAAAATAATATTTCTGGGCTGGAGATGGTTCTGTTGGTAACCTAGTTGTTATGTAAGAACAAGATGTGAGTTTGGACTCCCAGCACCCACAGAAAAAGATGGGTGGGACAGTGCTGGTTTGTAACCCTAGAATGGAGGCCTTCCAGGCTAGCCAATTTGCTGGCCACAGGTTCAGTCAGAGACCATGTCTTAAAAATTGAGGAGAGTGACAGTGACAGAGGAAGACATTGGATGTTGACCTCTGGCCTCTAAATGCACAACACATACAATACTTCCAGTATTCTAGTATTTTTATTTGGAAGAAAGTTGAAGGAACATGTGGAAAAGATAACTGGATTACTTTTTATAGGAAAAAAAATTTCCCTTTACTTTGAAAACCTGAAAACCCTAGGACACACCCAACAGCATGCTGTGATGGTTTGAATCTTAAATCTTGTATTTTAAACAGTTGTTTCCCAGCTGGTGGCACTGTTTTGGGAGGCTGTGGAACCCCTAGGAGGTAGCTGGTGGCAGTAGGTCTCTAGGGTGTACCCTTGAGGAATATAGGCAGTCCCCCCCCCCCGGGTCCCATTTTCTCTTCTCTTCCACTGAGCAGTGAGGAGCCTCCGCCACACATTCCCACTACTCAGAGTCCACATCCCTTTCTCACGAGTACTAGACTGAAGCCTGAAGTCATGAGTCAAAACTAATTTTTCAACCCTTTTGTTGTTTCCATAAAGTATTGTTGCCACGGGGCTATAAAAATAACGAATACAGCATCCCAAGGGTCTCTGGGACACTAAAGGTATTGGGGGAGACAGTAGAGAAGAGCAAAGTCCCGTGGGCATGTCCCATTTACCTGGGAACTTCAACACGCCTGAGGAATGGGGGCCATTGTGAGGCAGTGAGGGACGATGGCGGGCCCAGCCTTCGCGGCAAAGACTTCTCCCCACATTCTGAACGGCACTTTGCACACTGCATAAGAAGTTCAATTTGTAAGAATCTGTCTAAAAGATGTCACCACACACGCCAGGCAAAAGTATTCACCTGGGGAAGGAGCTAGTCATGTTTCACATTACAGACAATTTGGAGGACTCGATTTCATATTGCCGGACATGAGTGCAATACGAATGTAATTGTTTGGAGGCAATTTGAAGGAAAATCAAGTGTGCTTGTCCTGGGAGTTCAAGGTCATGGAGCACCTTTATGAGCTGGAGTCTGGGGAGGAAGTTCTCTTGGAAATTACATCTGAGTTTTGAGTTGTCACTCTGGAACTGGGCGCCTCATTCTGGGTGAGCTGACAGCTCTCTAGAGGGAAAGTGGCCGCTCTGAAAAATCTCTCATCGTTCAAGAGTTACCTCTTGCAGTGTCACAAAAGACACCTTATTGCTCAGCACTTGACAGTGCTGTGGCCCAGAGCTCTTCAGACTTTTCGTGTGACAGTTGCACTGGTTAATTCTTAATTGTCAACTAGGAACAACCTAGAATTGCCCAAGAAGAAAGCCTCCGCTGTGGAAGTGTTTAGATTAGGTTGGTCTGTGGGCATGTCTGGACTGTGAACTGGTGTGAGAAGACCCAGTCCACTGGAGGTGACATCACTCCCTGCATTCGTTCCTGAGTTATACAGGACAGCCGAAGACTAGATGTGAGCAGAAGCAAGTGGACAGCTGGGTTCATTTGTTTCTCTCTGCTCTTGACTGCACATGTTATGTGACTTGCTGCTTGAATCCCTTGGTGATGGGCTGTCACCTAGAAGTGTAACTTAAATCATCTTCCTTCCTCTCCTAAGTCAATTTTGGTCAGGGTGTTTTATCCTAGCAACAGAAACGAAGGCAGGATGATAGTGTTGGTGACAGAGCATACAACAATGATGGAATCTAGTGGTAGTTTATTAAAATAAAAACTATCCCCCCAATCCTGTTGCCATTGTCATGTGTCTTGGCTTCTTTCACTTAGGAGTGGAGCCTCTATCTTACTACAAGAAGCAGTCTAGTTTTTGACCCACTCTACCCAACAGAATGTAGACAGAGCATGATGTCTTCCCAGTTCCAAGGTTAGACCTCAAGAGTCTTGTATAGGTCTGCCTTCTCTTGCAGCACCACTTCTGTCTTGTGAAAAATCCAGAGCTAGTTCTCTGGAGTGGGAAAGCCCACGTGCACTCTCAGAGACTCTTGGTCAGCAGGCTAATATCCAGCAGCAGGGATGCCTTGCCAATCCATGGTTAATATGTGAAGAATGTCAGTGTTAATCAGCTGTTTGTGATTATGGTAAATGCTTGAGACACTCAACCTACAGGATGAAGGATTTATCTTGGCTCATGTTTGTAGTCCATGATAGCTTGGCTCCATATTTTTCTGGGATGGTAGTGAGAAGTACATTGTAGCAAAGAGGTAGGATATTTAAAATCCAAACTATAACACAGAAAGGACCGGGGGGGGGGGAAGCATAACTGAATTTAGCTTTAAATCTCTAAAAGTGCAGAGTAGTTTTAAACTCAGCCATCAGTCCTGTGACCCACGCAAGTTCCCTACCCCATATGATGTGCGTGGTACCCTGAGAGCCACATCTGTGAAGCACTGGCCTAGTGCCACATGATCGCTGGGTAGCTTTGTGGCTTCAGGGTGAGTCACAGCGAAGCTCTGGCTAAGCTTCATCTGACTCAGAGCCCTCCAGACTCTGATTGCCTTGCTCTGGAAGATAAAGGAACACGGGGAGTCAGAAGAAGTCAGGACCCTCCTTCCACTCCTAGAAAAGCAAGATGAAGGGAAGGGACAGCTGTTATTCGGGGGGAGGGGGTTGTCTGCATAGTTTGCAGAGGGTGAGGCCCAGGAGCAGTGACAGATGGAGGGAAGGTGGCCCATGTCCTTCTGGCTGGCTCTCTGCAGTGTGGACTTTCTTGCAGTGTGGGGTGTGAGCTTATAGAGTTGCCTGTGGAAATGTTGAATGTGTGGATTTGCAGGAGTCCTGTGGCCGGTGCTTCCAGTTTCACAACTATCAGGAAGGTTGGCTTGCTGTCCTTGTATCCCATAGCGGTCTGTTCTCTGGGGCTGATGTCTGGGTTCCAGGGCAGATCAGCACAGGATCTTGGCTCGTGACTGAGGTAAGGCTATACCTAAAACTCTTCTCAGATCCCCTGCAGCTGGGTTGAAACTGCTGACTTGAGTGGTAGATAGTTTTCAGACAACTAACTCAGCAAAGCACAGTTGTGAGAGTTGCTTGGTTGGCTTATGGCTCATGAGTTATTTCAAGAACTCACACGCTTTCCTTCTGTCTTCCCTGCCATTCTCACCAGGTAGACTCTGCCCTTAGCCTTAGAGCTGCACGTGTGTAGGGGACCATGTTGGAGAAAGCCTTTCCTGAAATTACCAAGAAAAAGTTATTTCTCCCTGTTCAGAGGTAGATCAGCTGCCAGAGCCTTCTGAACCTGCCAAGGACCATGATTGGCTGAGATCAACTCAGGACTCATCTTCTTGGTGCTGGAGAGGAAGTCACCCTGAGGATGTACACACATGGAGAAGGAACTGTGAGCAATTGGGACTTTGCCAGTAATAACTGCTGAGGCAAGAATGGCTGATGGATTGTGTATGGCAGGATAGGAAGAGCTGTGCTGACAGTAAACCTTGCTACCCGAGTGGCTTAGCACAGCACATTAATTCCACATACAGAGTCTGAGGAATGCTAGGTAGAATCTGTTACCCAGCTGGTGACTGGGGCTCTTGCTCCTCTTGGTCCTGCTCTTTGTGAATCTCCCAGGTCTCCTGTGGCCTCTCAGGTCTCCATATGACCTCCCAGGTCTCATGTGACTTCTTGGGTCTCCATGTGACTTCTTTGGTCTCCATGTATGTGGTCTTCAAGTTCTCCATAGCAATGGTAGAATATTTAGTTTATTTTAACAGATTATTTCCTTTTATATTTTGTATCTGTGTCTGCCTGTGTGTGTCTGTGGTGACCATGTCCACATGAGTGCAGGTGCCCGTGCATTCATGGAGGCCAGCAGAGGGCATAGGATCCCCTAGAGCTGCTGTGGTAGGAGGCTATGACCTGCCTGCTACAGGAGCTGAGAACAGAGCTTGGCTTCCCTGCAAGAGTAGTATTTGCTCTTAACGACCGAGGTATCCCTTCAGCCTGGAATCGTAAATTGCCCAGGAGTGACACAGTTCACGTTTGTCATTATGCATCTGTTAGACATAGTCCAGTGGCTCCAACCTAACTCAGGGGCTGATTGTGTGGTATTAGTGGCCACTTGAGAATCTCTTGAACATTGACTGTTTTTCCATAGCAGGCAATCAAGATGCAGAGGCGATAAATAAATCAACAAACAAGCAAGCAAATAAGTATATAAAGGGGAGCTGAACCTAGGGTAACTAAAGGATGCTGTTAGCATTGCAAACACTTGCTGGCTGTGTGTGAGACCCTGCTTCCCATCTTACTGGACTCTCACTGTGTCTGCTCTGGAGATGGTATGTTACATGTTACAGAAAATTCTTGTTTATAGTTTAAAACTATGTAAAGCGCCTCTGAGCACACCGGGGGCAGAGACTATGTAAATATTGGTGTCACTGTCACAGTGTTCTGATGCCCCTCCCATGATCTCCAGTTATTACCCAGCTGCACGTCTGCATTCTAACAAAGCAATAAATAATAACACTTAAATTTGGAGAGAAAAATGACTCTCCACAGAATTGCCTATTTTCCGCATGCCTTGAGTCAATAGCCCTGAAGACCCTTTGGTCTCTGTGAGATTAGTCACTTCCCTCCAAGTCCTGAAATGGTCTGCACAGTGCCATCACAATGACTCATCTGACTTCACAGATGGAGGGTGAGGTTTCTTGATGGATGCAGGCCTGTTTGTACCTTTAAGGGGCTGTGGATTGGATTTGGGATGCAGAGCTTTGGGTATGAATATCCTGTCAGTACAAAAATATAAGCTCTCCTGGAGCAAGAAGTTCTATTTACCCTCTCCACAGGGCCTAGTACAGTTCCCAGCTTACAATCAGAGCCCTGCGAACCTGATTTGATGGGAGACATGCAGACTGTATGGCCTCTGGGCTAGAATGTTCTCAGTTTCTAGGGAACTCTGTGCAGCCGAAGTCAGGGCATGGGTTCTGTATTTCATGTTGTCTTCTAAAAAGTCAATGTCATAGAAACATCTTTCCCCTGGGCAAAGGTCCAGTGTACAGGGCCTCACTCACTAACTTTAAAACAATGTACTCCATAGCCAAAGCCTATAAGGTCACAAAACCAACCATTAAAATGTAGTTACCTCACTGTGAACTTGTAACTTTTCTCTTGGTGTGGCCAAAAGCAACTCAAGGAAGAGAGTTTATTTGGCTTATGTATTCCAGGGAGCTACAGTCCACAATGGTGAGGAGGGTGTTGCAGGGAGAGAGACAGGAGAGAGAAAGAGAGAGAGAGAGAGAGAGAGAGAGAGAGAGAGAGAGAGAGAGAGAGAATGGGCACAAGAGTATGGCTAAACTATAAATCTTCAAGGCCCTCCTCCAGTGACGTATCCCTCCAACAAGGGCTCTTCTTCCACGGGTTCCACAACCTCCCCAAACAGATCACCAATAGGTGATCCAGTGTTCAAACACACAAGCCTCCGAGGAGCATTTCCCATTCACCCACAAAACATACTACGCAAGGAAAGACCCTGGGAGCAGATAGAATATTTAAGGAATTTCCTACATTAAAGTTCTTGGTAACAGAGCTATTTCATTCTTACTCAGAGCCCAGTGACTTCAACTGTACCGAGTGTTCTAAAATAGTCCTATAGCATGCCAGAGCAATGGTCAGTGCAAACTTGCAAACCTGATTGAAGGTTTGAGAATTTCCATGCCATAGAAGCAGCTGTTTCAAATGACAACGGACTTCTGTCTTGGGTAACATGGCAATATGCCCACTGTCTAGGCTGAAAAATATAAGACAGTTTACAGAATAGTGTGCAGAGTTTCTCTGTGCTCGAGAGAATGTGAGCAGATAGGTACGGGGCACTTATCACAACGGCAAGTTATGTAGAGCTGCTCTCTGCTTCCAGAGTGTGGAGTCCTGAGGGAGAAAGGGGAGGGAACTTTAGTCACATGGTCAGGGCAGGGAGAGGTGGGAATGTTTGTGTTTGGTCCATGAGAGCACATGGTAAGATCAACTACCCTAGGAATGAGGATGTCGGGGGGGGGGGGAAGGATGTCAGGGCGCTTCCTGGAAGGAAGTAGTTCATTAATTACCATCTAGTGAACCAGGGTTCCATGTAGTTTTCTGTGAGGTGAACACACCAGCGTGTGTGGTGTCATCCAGTGTGGTGTGTGGCAGGTAGAACCGGAGAAGGGGCAGGAAGTGGGCACATGTGTGGAAGAAAGAGGACCCTGCAAAGACAGAGGAATCTGCTTTCGGAACCTTGAGCGTTCAATGATGTCAAGACAGAACCAGCTTGTCCTGATCTGCAGGGTCAGTGTTGCCAAAAGGTAGCTGGTACTCCAGGGTATTGACATTTGCAGTTTTATTTGCTTTTTTTCTTAATATATACCAACATTTTTTGGGCACATACATTGAATATACTTCTTTTTGGTTTTTCATTTTTTTATTTTAAATTTCTTTTTATTTTTAGAAGCACTCTTATTTACATACCAATCCCCCCATTCTCTTGCTCTCCCATCCTCCCATGCTCCCCATGGACCCCCAAACCCACCCCCACCCACTCCCCAGGGATAGTGAGGCCCTCCATGGGGGACCATCAAAGTCTGTCATATCATTTGAGGAAGGACCCATGCCCTCTTTCCTGTATCTGGGCTACAATAGTATCCCTCCATAGGGAATGGGCTCCCAAAGTCCATTTGTGCTCTAAGGATAAACACTGGCTCCGCTGTTAGAGATCCCATAGACTGTCTTGGCCTCCTAGCTGACACCACATTCAGAGGGCTTGGTTCGGTCCAATGCTGTTTCCCCAGCTTTACGACTAGGGGCTCTGTGCTCTCACTAGGTCAGGTCAAATGTTTCTGCGGGTTTCTCCAGCACAGTTTTGGCTCATTTGCTCATCCCTCCTCCCTCTCTGCAATTGGATTCCAGGAGTATGGTTCAGTGCTTAGCTGTGGGTGACTGTTTCTGCTTCAATCAGCTACTGGATGAAGGCTCTAGGATGGCAAGCAATCTCATTATAGGGGAAGGGCATCAAAGGCATCCTCTCTACCACTGCCTGCATGCTTAGTTGGGGTCATCCCTGTGGATCCTCTAGCATTTCCCCTGTGCCAGACCTCTCTCCAAACCTATACTGGCTCCCTCTATCAAGGCATCTCCTTTCTTGCTCTCCTCTATTCCTTTCCTGTCTCAGTTCTACTGTTCTTTCTCCCCTCTCCCCTTCTCCCCATCATCCCTTCCCACCTCCTTCCTCCCCCCCTCCCCCCCCTGCTCCCCATTTGCTCAGGGGTTCTTGTCCCCCTCCCCTTCTTCAGGAGACCATGCTTTCTTCTCTTGGGGTCCTCCTTGCTTCCTAGTTTCTCTGGTGGTGTGGATTGTAGGCTGGTAATCCTTTGCTCTATGTCTAATATCCATACATGAGTGAGTACATACCCTAGCTTGTCTTCCTGTGACTGGATTACCTCACTCAGGATGTTTTCTTCCAGTTCCATCCATTTGCCTGTGAATTTCAAGATTTGATTGTTTTTTCCTCCATTGTGTAAACCACATTTTCTCCATCCATTCTTTGGTAGATGGGAATCTAGGTTGCTTCCAGGTTCTGGCTATTACAAACAATGCTGCTATGAACATAGTTGAACATATGTCCTTATTGTATGGGTGTGCATTCTTTGGGTGTATGCCCAAGAGAGGAATTGCTGGATCTTGAGTTGGACTGATAACCATTTTCCTGAGAAACTGCCATACTGATTTCCAAAGTGGTCGTACAAGTTTGCACTTCCATTAGCAGTGGAGGAGAGTTCCCCTTTTCCCACATCCCCTCGGCATAAACTGTCATTGGTGTTTTTAATTTTAGCCATTCTGAGCAGTATAAGATGGTCTCTCAGAGTTGTTTTGAGTTGCATTTCCCTGATGGCTAAGAATATTGAACACTTTTTCAAGTGTCTTTCAGCCGTTTTAGATTCCTCTATTGAGAATTCTCTATTTAGTTCTGCACCCCACTTTTTAAATGGATTGTTTGGTGTTTTGGTGGCTAACTTCTTGAGTTCACTGTGTATTTTGGAAATCAGCCCTCTGGCAGATGTGGGATTGGTGAAGATCTATTCCCATTCTGTGGGCTGCCGTTTTGACTTGCTGACTGTGTCCTTTGCCTTACAAAGGCTTCTCAGTTTCAGGAGGTCCCATTTATTAATTGTCAATCTCAATGTCTGTGCTACTGGTGTTATGTTCAGGAATGGGTCTCCTGTACCAATTCATTCAAGGGTAATTTCCACTTTCTCTTCTAAGAGGTTCAGTGTGCCTGTATTTATGTTGAGGTCTTAGATCCATTTGGACTTAAGTTTTGTGCATGGTGATAGACATGGACCTATCTGCAATCTTCTACATGTTTGCATCCAGTTATGCCAATACCATTTGTTGAAGATGCTTTCTTTTTTCCATTTTTTTTGCCCAAAATCATGTGTTTGTAGGTGTGTGGGACCCTATCAAGGTTTTCAATTTGATTCCATTGGTCTGCCTGTCTACTTTTGTGCCAATACCAAGCTGTTTTCAGGACTATAGCTCTATAATAGAGCTTGAAGTCAGGGATGGTGTTGCCTCCGGAAGTTCCTTTATTGTACAGGGTTGTTTTGGCTATCCTGGGTCTTTTGTTTTTCCATATGTTTAGCATTACCCCAAGATATTTTATGTTGTTTGTGGCTACTGTAGAGGGTGATGTTTCTGTGATTTCTTTCTCAACCCATTTATCGTCTGTATATAGTAGGGCTACTGATTTTTTTTTTTTTGAGTTAATTTTGTATTCTGTCACTGCTGAAGGTGTTTATCAGCTGTAGCAGTTCCTTGGTAGAGTTTTTTGGGTCACTTATGTAAACTTTCATATCATCTGCAAATAGTGAAAGTTTGGCTTCTTCCTTTCCAGTTTATATCCCCTTGATCTCCTTTTGTTGTCTCATTGCTCTAGCTAGGACTTCAAGTACAATATTGAAGAGATATGGAGAGAGTGGACAGCCTTGTTTTGTTTTTGATTTTAGAAGAATTGCATTGAGTTTCTCTCCATTTAGTTTGATGTTGGCTGTTGGTTTGCTGTATATTGTTTTTATTATGTTTAGATATGTTCCTGCTATTCCTGTTCTCTCCAAGACCTTTATCATGAAGGGATGTTGGATTTTGTCAAAGGCTTTTTCAGCATTTAGTGAGATGATCATGTGGTTTTTCTTCTTCAGTTTGTTTATATGGTGGATTACATTGATGGATTTTCATATGTTGAACCATCCCTGCATCCCTGGGATGAAGCCTACTTGATCATAGTGGATGATTTTTCTGATGTGTTCTTGGA